TATACATTCCTGTAATGGTGAGCCATTCACACGACATTAGGAACTGCAAATTCAACCCAGATAACAAGACGAGTGTAATTATTGAGACGGCACAATACCTGGAAACAAAATACAAACAAACAAAACCTCTTTGCATTGCTCATTTCATCTAAACTTCTGTGCCTCAAATCTCCCGTTAATTAAAATCAAAGGAATTTTGGCATCGAAAGAAGAAGAATATTTGCAACTGCTGCAAATAAAACACACCTCTAATTTAAATTTAATGAATTCAGGACCTAGAAAAATGAAGATAAAAAAAAATGGAAATTAACTTTCAGTTTTAATTAATAGTACTGTTGGAAAAAGAAAGGTCAAATAAAATTCAAGCGAATCAATTAAAGCCATATAAAAGTCAGAATATTTTCACTTTTAAAACAATATTTTTACTTGGGCTTATGAATTATTTGGTATATTTTTCAGGTTGGAGTCATAGAAAAGAATGAGATAGTCATCCTGGATCTCGCACAAACGTCCTATGAGATGTACAGACTGGAGACGGATGTGTTTATGAGTGGATGGGTGGGTGGATGCTCTGTACGGTTAGGAGGATCTCCAACCTATCTGAGCTATCGAAAGGAGTAGGAGAGAGCTTCTGCTTAACTTCTGTTTTCAACCTTGTTCATGTGAAAGCCACCTTTACAAGAAAAAATGGTGGACAACCAAAAATAAATAATGGTTCAACAGCAAGTGCCTCAACTGACCACAAGATGACCTTCATTCGGCTCATCAGAAAACAATGTTTGCCTATGAATTGTCATAATGCTTTATTTACCCTTTGTAAAAGTATAAGTGTGCGTTGGAATGCTGTTTTTCAAAAATTTCATCTATCTCTCTTTTGAGAAATACACACAGCTACAGGTGAGAGTGCAGGGCCCCTGGAGTAATCAGGGGTCAAGGGCCTGGCTCAAGGGCCCAATGGTGGCATCAGTCTCTCTGCTGTGGGATCACGGGCACAGAGTCCCAACCTGCTGAGCCACAAGCCACCCCCCACAGTATAGGTGTCCCTCCCCTCAGTGAGTCGAAATATATTTGGCTTCATTATCAGCGACCGCTTATCCAGTCAGGGTAGCAGTCTGTCCCTCCAAGCATATGGCGGATGGAGAAGAACCAGAATGCTTTGCCAAAGCTTCGCAGGACGCTCACGCCTGTGCTGAAATGCCGAAGGCCCGGTCCCACCTGAACAGCAGGGCTCTTGGCCTGAGGGAGGAGAGCAGAGAATGCCATAGAAAAGCACATGGAATTGAGGAGACCCTGGGGCTCAGGCTAAGCTAAGACCCTGGAATTATAGTGAATTCTTTAGTACATGTGAATGTGGGAATACTACCAGAGGAGCCACGATGTATCTGTAAATATGTTATGTAACTCTATTTATTTACTTTCATCTGGAAAATGAGTCACCCTCATTTGACTAGTGAATGTCAATGCCAAACAAACAACCATCGCAATAAACAGTATTTTAAGTGGACTGTTATAAAACGACACTCCTGATCAAAGTGTTAAAGCGTCTGGCCATCTCAGAATCCTTCCGGAGTGGTTACACTGGATCTGCCATTCCTTTGGAAAGATGTGGGTATATTCAAAAGACATACATCAGAAAGGCCTAGTTTCACAAATGGGAACATGACTGTCAGACGACCCTGTTGCTAGGTAACCCTGTTGCCGGTTACGCAGGACTAAGGTTCGTTATTTTATTAGCAACTCATCCTGGACTCGTTTACTTGCTCAAAATAGATTAGATAATGATTAAGTTAAGCTAATCCTGAATAAGTTGTTGAAAGAAGCCTTCGTCTTTATATTTTTCCCAATTTTTGGACAAGTGCATGTAAAATTGAAAGTGTTTGAATTATTTTTTAAGTGCTCCATCTGTTGTTACGGTGTGTGGCAATTCTTCAGATTTGTGCTGCATATTTGCTATCTAGCTTTTAACAAGAACTGAAGGGCGTAGTTAAGGAAAGGATATTTGTGCAACTTGAATTGTTTTTACTTTTTTGAAATAGCATAGAAAAGCACCGGTTACAGCTGTCACACTGAGCCGGCAGCAGTCGATGTGTTTGTTGATAAGAAAAGATACAGTGTGGCTGAGTGTAGTTAATGAGCACATTTTGCAGGCCCCTCAAGCATGTAGAGACATCATAAACAACCTGGAAACTGAGGCAGTCACTCTGCCTTCAAGTCTTCAAGTGACATGCGTCACCGTCGACAACACCCAGCGAAACAATCACCTGACTTATTAACTGCCAAGTAGGCAGCTAGTGGGGATTTAGCCGCTAGCTGACCATTCAACGGTTCTGACGTACAAAATTTCAGTCTCCATCTGGCCGTCAGCTGCTCTTCCTGAGAATCAAGGTTGTCCGACTGATCTAAAATTATTTTCTGCCTGTCAGTTTTACAACAGTAGCTCTTTGACTTTCCGACACGCTGTGTCCCAGATGCAGTTTCTGCACATTTGGTGGTGGTCACATATAACAGTCCATAGGAAAACAATAAATGGATCAGTTTATTTGTGATTTGAATGGTGTCTGATGGGGATAATTGCATTTTACTGCATTGTTAGTTTGCCATTTATTTCAAGAAAAGAGCATCACAGGTAACAGAAAAAAAATGAAAATTCTATTTTATTCCATTTCAAATTGAAAAATATGGTTTCACTTAAAGACAGCTGTCTTGACGCAACACTTGGAAATTGTTTCATTGTTAACATCCTTGGTGGAAAAAAGAGCAACTTTGGAAATATAAAAGATGTGGCATTCTTCCAGCACTCAAAATGACATCAAAACAACTAGCCCAAAAAAAAATAATAAATAAAAATATGGAAACTGAGAACTTCCTGCCAGATATGAGGGGAGCTTCAGATATGTGTCATTGTATCTGTGGATCAAGCGAAACTGTTTTTTTTTCTGTTTCTCTTTCCACATGCACCTTGCGGATGTTAATGTGTAGACTGAGCCCGGTTTCTGATGAAGCTTTGCTTTTGTGTGTCACTGTTTTAGTCCCTGGCTTGGCTTTTATGGTTTACTTCTGGTCAGGAGATCACCCAAGAACAACAAGCCTAAATGAAATAGGTCACCCCAAACTTGAAGTGTAACAATAATGTAGCATAGTTTTAGCGATTCAGATTTATTGCAGTGTGTGTTTTATGCATATTCCTGCACAGTCTACTGGTATGCAGTTAGGCCCAGTGAAATTTCCCACAGAGTATGTGTCTGAGCACATGTATGCTGTGATGGACCAGCTTCCAATCCATACTATACCCCTGCCTTGTACCCTATGCTGCCTGGAATAGGGTCCAGGCCCCCTGTAACCCAGCCCACAATGAGCATCTTCATGACTGATGCTGTGTTTCTGCCAAAAACCCCCATTCTCTACATTCATTAAGCTGTAAAAGGGTCTCAAAAACTGAATTGTGTCCTAACCACATTGACTAAACGATGTAAATCCCTTAGTTTTTGTCCCATGTGACAAAAGTTTCAGGATGACCCCTCTGCATCATTTAACGCTTCTTATCCAGCATTATTTATTTGTGTCTTTTGCATTTTGAAATGTTTGTTGTGCACATTTTTCATTTTGTGCAATGATTTCACTGTGAGCTGATGTTATGAAGGCAGGGATTAGAATTGATCAGAGCATTAACAGGCACAGTTCCTGCTTAACTTCACCAGTGAAGATGACAGTGGAAAAATCTAAAACATGGCGCCCACAAAGACTGATATATCACTGAAATCAACAAAAGAGCCGGGACACTGATATCTCTAGGGCAAATTAAACATTAAGAGGTTATACACAACCTAACTAGAGGGAGGTACGGCTAAAACCTTGTTGACAATAATTAGTAAAAAAATCTAATTATGATGTAGCCAAGCACAGAACATAGAACCAACATCTTAATGCTACAATAAGCATTCATTGCACGATTGTCGGTAATTTCAGATGGAAAAACACAACTGTAGATATAAAATTGACGATAATTAAACGTCACAAATGCACCCACAAAAGCTGGAAATAAACAAACACACCTTGTCCCTTTTCAGCACAAATTCTTTGCACCTGTCAACATGAGTGTATGCGCTTCCATTGCCATTTGAACTTTGAAAAACAATGTTACGCAACCTACCCGCCAGATTGAGAATGTGCCGCTAGATGTCAGAAAAGGATCAGGATTGAGGTGGCAAGCTTGCTAAGCGCAAAGCGTGAAGATCTGCGCAGTGGCTAATACCAGCTAGATTTGCGCAGTTTATACACTTGCGGTCCATCCTATATATTTGTTGTCCTTTTCGGCAAAATTTATTAAACACTTTTCTCACGGAAAAAAAAAAACTTTTAATCCTAATATTAACAGTTGTTTAAAGGGTTGAGAATGGATTTCAAAACAATAGCCTTACGAAGCAATAGGACTGTTCACAAATCCGCGTAAAATGAAATCTTATTAGTCTTGAGTTAATACAGTCAGTTACAGCATATGCATCTGTTAGTGTTAGCTTTGGGTAATTTTGTTATTGATCCACACACACATACACACACACACACACACACACACAAATAAGATTTACACACAAGACCAAAAAAAATGATATCCATATACTATGTGAATATGATGCAATTAAGAGTATGATATGAGATAAGGTGTATAAATGATATCCAGTTATGAAATAACGCTCAGTTATTAATTAAATGGAATTGGTATTTCCTTGAATTTTTCTGTAGTGCTGGCTGCAGTCTTTGTGTTGGACAAAGTAAAATTCATTGCAAGCTGTAATTCTCATTTTACATATTTTTGAAATAGTCACTTTATAAGTGCTTAAGGTGACCGGATTTACGTGGAAATGCATCTCCAGGTGGGGGGGGGGGGCTCCAATTAAGCCGAGCATATGCCTGCTTTCCAGAAATCCCACGGTGCCATCTGCAGACAGTCCCTCGTGACCCCCCCCCCCCCCCCCCCCCCCCCCCAGCCTCAACAACAGCTTGAGAAACGGAGAATATCACATTTCACTAGGAGTCATCATATTTTGAAATAGATGTGGACTGAAATAATAAACAGCACTCCCAGAATTCCTTTGTGAACCGTGCAATTTAAATTAAAACTGAACAGCTTTTTTCATGAACCATGTCGCTAAAATAAAATGGGGATCAGGTATTATAAATGTGCAACAAAAATAAATAGAAACAGCACACAAGGAAGACCATAATTTCAGTATGATACAAGTATAGTATGTCATTACTCTGTCACATAATCTAGTAACCGGTCTGCTTTCACTTGGGCAATGGATCTCGTGATTTCTCGACCCCGAATAAACCACCATAAACTGACCTCTACCAGCTACTTCTCTGAAATGTTGATTGCCCTGTTGCCGTTTCCTTCTTTTTTATTTGACCCTCACAATAACGGTTCCTGCTGGCAATAGTTTCCCTTTGTCTGTCACAAGCATGTCCCCGCACGCACGCGGAGCCCCAGCGACAATTTCAGCTCGCGCCGGTCACATGACCCAGCCTCCACTGACAGATGTCTCTCGGCGTTTTCCACATGTCTGCTGCTGTGTTTGTAAAATATCCTGATCATGTGCTTTGCTGAGCAAGTGTATTGTCTTTTCACTAGTGGGTGTGGGTCTCGTTTTCTCTCTCTCCTCCCTCTCGCTCTCTCTCCTCTCTCTGTAGCTTAGTCTGTTTCTTTTTTTCAGCGTGATCAATGGCTTGACTTCCTCCTTTGGTACTACCAGTGCTGGGGAGCGCAGAAATTCGACTGGTGCTACTCGGTTTTTACACGGCATCGAAATTACCAGCGATACAGGTCACGCACCGGATTGCCTCAGCCCGGCGCTCAGTCGATAAGATGAGTGCAGAGGATGTGGTCTTCACGGGCTGGCTCATCAAATCCCCTCCCGAGAAGAAATTAAAGAGATATGTGAGTACCGAAATGAGGAGGGATGCGTGGGTAGGGGATATCCGTGATGGGTCCTTGGGATGCTTTCTGATCGGCTGTTGTTGTACTAGTTACTGCACCAAATGTGTGCAGACCGCCCGGTCATCAACAGTACATCACTGCCATGCTTGTAGTAAGAGGAGTCACTTTCTCTTTTAAACGATTGTGCAGTCCTGGGCATTCATGCGTAGTGTTTTTTTATTTTGGGTACAACGTGCTCTCAGGCAGTCTAAATATCTTCCACTTAAATGCTGTAGCAACTGTGATACAGGCACACACACACACACACACATAAAGGCACACACACACACATACACATATACACACGTCTAGAAATGTCAGACGTTTCTATTTCCACATTGCGATTGTCATTTTGAGTGAACTTGGTGTTTATATTCTGTGTGCATTTTCAATTAATTTATTATTCTGTCCTGTATTTGGTTGACAATTTAAGACTGTTTTGTTATATTTGCATCAATGTCAATTTCAAGCCCATTGAGCTCCTTAGTTGCCATTTACCAACATTCTTTTTTTGTAAATAAAGTGTGCTTGAACTCTAGAAAGAGAATTTAATTACTTGCTGGGGAGATTAAACTGAAAGACATCCTAGAAAAATGAAGCAGGTTTAATTCTGAAACTGAGGTGAACATTTCTTATGTGTCTGGTGTGTTTGAGAGTTGCACTCTTTGCGCTGCTGCATTGGGCTCAACTGTCTCTTTCTGATTCTGTGAAATTTGGGTGTGAATTGCAAAACATAGGAAGCTATATCAAAGGCCAGGCTGCTCAGAATGTTCAGACTAAGTGATGGCCGTTATTTTTCCCCCCTTCTTCTTTAGATAGTGCAGTTAGAGGAAAACCACTCCAGTAGCAGGGGGTGGGGGGGGGGGGGGCACTTGTTCAGTATTGTGTACTTAAAGTTGCATAGGAAATTCCACTCAGAATTATTTTTGGTGGAGCATATGGGGCGGTGGGGGCAGGGGCAGGGGTGGGGGTCAAGTTTCTTTGTGGCTAGAAGAAGGATGTCCCAGACAACAGGAAGCTTTGGGCTTTTCTGTGTTGGCACTTGGTAGGAGGTTTGCCAGGATGGGTGGAGCACGATGGTACAATAACACTCTCCCATATACTGTAGGAATTACTGGGCCAGATCCTAGGAATGCAATAGGTACTAACTGGACCAAGTCTCTCCCCCCCCCCCCCAGCAAAAGTGATAACCTGGGAGCCTGAACCATAATTAATAAAATAGAAACAGGCTTGAGATTCCAGCTTTATAGTATATAGTGGATAAAACTCTCTGCATATCGACAGGAATGTAGCAGCAGGAACGCTGAAACGGCTAGAGGGACGTGAATGATATCCTGATCCCTCACACTGCCACTGAGCCCAGTCACTGTCTCAATGCAGCTTTATTTGTTACCATAGAAGACCGACGTCCGACTGCCTGGCGTGGCACACCCACTCTGTGCCAACGCTGGCATCCCTGCACTCACCGCCATGCATTTCTGCATTATAGTCGGTGACCATTTACCTATTTCTGCATCTTCAGATTGTATCGCTGTCGCCACCGTGCTGCATTTCCGTAAATGTCAGTCAGTCAGCCAGTCAATAAATTCCCTCAGTGTATCTTTTTCACTTAGTAGGTTCATTAACATGCACACAGTAAGCAAATGTGTACAGTTACAGAAGAACCTGTCAGCTGTGTGGACGGTTTGGATGTCAGAGGTACAGAGCAACCCCTATTGATGCTTGAAGGCTTGTTGGGCAAAGATAGAGTTTTGCAGACAATAGCCGTGTTTATGTAAGGACCTGGTTCACAACTTAAGTAGGCCTATTTCAAATATCACTCACATCCTTTATTATAAATCAAATTAAACTATTTCTGTTGTACAGTATTGTAAAATCAAGTGATCTACTTTAAACATACACAGTATAGCATATCTTGTACCATGTGATAATTATTTTAGTATTTATCTGAAGTGTCTCTTGTAAACAGCATATATTCTATGATGCACTAAAATATTGTATAATTGCCAAAACAGCTAGGTGCTGATGGCGGTCCTTCTTTTAGAAATGGACTCTAATCTGCTTTATGTTTCCTTTGAAAGGCTGTTACAGTCTCGGTTTTTGGTCTTGCTGGACGCAGAATTATAACGATGTACATTGTGCCTACATGTATATTTCTGAAATTAATATAATTCTCAATATATTATTTGTATTGCCCTGTTGCCGTTTCCTTGTTTTATTGTATTTTTAATTGTATAATGTATTTATCATTTTTGAAGCAATTGAACATATTTAGCACATTTTGGCATTTGAGTAATTCCTTTGCATATTTTAGGGCTACATTTTCCCAAGCCTGAATACACCATCCCTCCATCTATCCATGTTTTTATAACCAGTACGGAACCACACTGCTTAATACACCAACACTGTGTAATTATTACCCATTAATAAGGAGATGTATACATGTAAGAGTACAAAGGAAATGTATCTTCTGTTGTTTGCATAGCAAACCACGGTTTAGGGGAAAAACCCAGAAGTAGCGTTGAAATCTAAGCCCCAGCCACATCAAACCAATACTGTTGCATCAAAACTGCCATTTCTTACTCTGATGAAAAGACTAAGGTAGCGGGAAAAAAATCTGAATTAAAGCATTATAAAGTAGTCATATTTTTTTGTTAGATCAAACGACACAAACATTTAATGTTCATGAAGTGTCCTAGAACGTTTTTTTTTTAGCTCTTTTTAAGAGAGCCTTCATTCCCCCCAATATCATCTTACTGAAGATAACAAGTAACGTCCTAATATGAAAAAAAAAACTGCCAAGGTCATGAAGTTTAAAATAAGCCATCCAAAAAAACAAAACAAAAAAAATTTGAAAATGTGTGGGCTCAAGGACATTTCTGTCACTTGCTGAATTTGTTTTGTTTTGAGTCTGGCGGCCATGCCCTCGTCACACGTAGTGTGGTTCAGAAGAAGAGGCTGTGGGATTCACACTCGTGTTTGATTCTTCTCACATGCACACACCTGCGTCTGGCCATGAACGTAAAACGAAGGCTTTAAGCAAGTAAAATAGAAACATGAAAAAATGCCATTGTGCTTGTGAAAACTGTGACTAGTTTACAGACATCACCGAAAGATCTAGAGTGGGTTAGGGTTAGTGTACAGACATGTATGCAGCGTAAATCATTCAATTTTTCCATCACAACAATAATACAAGTTCTACTACTACGACTTCTGTTACTACAACAGCCGTTTGTGTTTATTATGCATTTTTGTTTCACTTTTAGTTTGCTACTATCTTACGAAAACGTCAAGTTTCTCGGGGGACTGATTTTCATTTCCAGCTGCAAACGCTGTCATCGCACAGAAAGCTTATCCTGGGCCTAAAGCACCCACTGTTATTAATAACCTGCTTCTGCTCCTGTTCATTTTGGTCAGATGACGTAACGTCACCAATAAAAGCTTGAAAAGGTTAGCTGATGTGTAAATTATAAATAAATACTAAGTAGCATGTTATGGCTTGCGTTGAGAGTCGCTTCCAGACAGACGCAGGAAAACTGCGGAAATCAGACAGTGTTTATGTCGGTTTGGTTGAAACAGTCAACACCTGTCTTGAAAAAAGGAAGTTTGAAATTGCCCCTTCCAAGCAGGACCTGAATTGACAGAATTTCCAGAGCCGTTTCAAAGGTGTTTATCTCACTTTTGAGCCGGTGTTCATTTACTGTGCCCTGTCTCTAACACATTCTCTTTGAGATATTCGCTGCAAAAAGGCTTTATCGGTCCTGGCTTGACTGTCTGTAGCAGTTTTTGTTCTGCCTTTTCTTAATTCAGTTCCACTTAAGTTATGAATGTGCAGCTACAGTGCAGGAGACTGGATACAAGATATAAATAAACAGAAACAAGTAAAATGCAGCAGAGTACAATGAAGTGAGTTATGTAATCTTGTATTTGCGGGGGAAGCATTTGGGAAATTATACAATACAGTAATTATAAAAATAAAATTATTATTATGTGACGTATAATGTGCTATATATACCTTATATCTTAAGGGCCTGCATTCTGGTGTCGTGTGTTATTACAGATCTGAATCATGTTTGGGAGTAGTGCATTTTTTCTTTTCTGCTTTAGCATTTCCAGAAATGACAAATGATCTTTTGTTCCAGCCAAAACCTCAGTTATGAAGAAAAAGCTTCCTCTTTTCAGCCCTTATGGGAAATGTTGACTAGTTCCCCAGAAAAAAAGACAGGCCACCAAAGATTTTAACAGCATACTCTGTGAGAGACGTGGTGGTTCCCTTGGCATTACCAATGTTCAAAATGAATACAAATGATCTCCTAGCAACACATCACATGTTTTTCTGCGTCTGCGTATGTCGAATCCATATAAGGCTGTATTGTAATGGTAAACCAGTGATATTGTGGTATGATGCTTGCAGGACTATAATATACACCGGAGAATATTTCCGCTAAATTTACAAGAAAATGTCTCTTGTATTCCCTTGTGGGACCTCTAGAAAGAAGTTAACATAGGTGTTATTCCACATGTCTCATGAGAAAAGCACACATGGAGAATTATTTTTATTGTTATTTGAAGATTTAATAATTCTGTAAACCGCTTTCCCGCAGGCCTGGAGGAGGCGCTGGTTCGTCCTACGTAGAGGCCGCATGAGCGGCAATCCAGACGTGCTCGAGTATTACCGCAGCAAGAGCTCCAAGAAGCCCATACGCTCAATCGACCTGCGGGAGTGCAAGGTGCAGATGGAGTCCAACGTTCAGCTAGTCAAGCGCGAGTTCCAGAACCAGCCCCTCTTTGTGGTGAAGACCCTGACCCGCGTCTACTACCTGGTGGCCAAGACGGAGGAGGAGATGAACTGCTGGGTGTCCCACATCAGTCAGATATGCCACTTCAGTCCGTTGAATGATGAAAGAGGTGGGAGGAGCTATGTGACATCATTTACATAATTTATGCATTCAGGAGAGAACTTCTGAGAATTGGGTCCATTCAGGCTGGGAGGGGTCATGGGAAGCCCTAGGGCAAAATGATAAAACATTAATTAGCTGAGCATCCAGCTTAAAAGGGCTGTGATACTTAATCAATTTTACTCCATGTGCTCTTATACATTTGCTCCATAAACCAAATGACTTCTGTGCCTCGAGGCATTAAGAGCACTTGACAGTTTAAGGTTTAATATTATTTTACAGCACCCTATTGTGAATCATAAAAGGTTCTTAAGTTTTTAAGGGGAGGATGTTGCAGGAGGGGTGCCACTGTGGGCTGTGTCTTACACCTCTAGGGGTGGGGGTTCGAATCCCGCTGCCGCTCTGTCATGTTTCGTGTTCTGTATGGCTTCCTGCACAGTCCAAAGACGCGCCTTGATTGGCATCCCGCTGAGAGCACGTGTTGTATCCAGTTTCTAATCAGTCATAAGGTTTTACCCAGCGTCATTTACAGTGTGTTTTAATTTAAAATTTCAGTTGCTTTAAGTTCCCAATAAATTAGCCCGGATGTACTTAACAACGGCAACATAAAAGCAGTAATCATCTTACCAACTGCCTTACAGCTCCTCCTCTGAGCAGCAAAAAAAAAAACAAAATCCATTTTATGTATCACTGATGTATGTATAGTTTCCATATATATATATATTGCTATATATTTTTTAAGACCTTGGCCACCTGACAGCAGCACAGTATGTTTTCTAAAGGCCAGTGAACAGGAAGCGTAAACCTGCATGAACGGGGATCGTCTTCCTAGCGGCTTGCTGACTGCTGCAGTGCGCCAGGGAGACCTATCAAGGTGGGGGAATGGAGATGATGGGAGATATAGAAAGTTCTCCAGCAGTTAACCAGCAGATATTCAAATTACACAGCTCACCCCCCCACCTACCCACCAGCAAGGATGTCGGGATAGAAGGATGGATAAATATTCAAATATATATTCAACGACAGGGGTGTGAGTTGAAGCACAAATACTTAAGGCCTTTACTAACTGGCAGACTGTTAGGCCACATAATTATAACCCTAACTTTAAGCAATTTTAAAAAGGTGCATCTTAAGCAAATTATCCAAAGCAAATTTAGTTAAGTTATCCTTGCTTGATAATCCGATGTATGCAGCTCAAGCACCTAAAGTTACCTGCCGCTTATCTGCACTCTAGCTACTTTGCTGGATTGATTTAGGATCAGAATCTGAGGGTAGCAGCGTAACAACACAGCATCTACATCTATGAGACCTTACAACAGCAAGCTTCAGATCGCAAGTCTCTGTCCTTAGCTGCCCTCAGCCACAGAAAGTTGCGATTTAGCATGGGTAGGGACCTCATTCAAGTGACGACGAAGACTTTCCTGTCAGAAAGATAAATGTGGTATAAGATGGCGGAGCTGCTGAAGCACGTGTCGATTGAGTAACCACAGCTGAACGAGAGAAACCGCTCCAGCAATTTTTGACATTTTGCATAATTACTGCAAAACCACCCTTTTACTTGTCGCTGCAGTTAGCGATGGAGCACGCGAATGCTGCAGCGATGCGTCTTATCTTTAACGCATGGAGCACTGCATGCGCTCGCATTACGACATGAACTTTGAAAAGTGCTGGTGGCAAATATTTACATAATGTAAGAATGGGTGTAGTGATTTCGTCAGGCAGCGTTTAAATGAGGCTTTTGAATTGAGAGCAGGTGTTGAACGGCCTGCAGGTTGTGAGAAGACAGGGAACCCCCCATTGAAAATGTACCCAGTTTGCTGCGTGTGTATAGAGAGAGATTTAAAAAGTCTGGCTGTTCTCCTCTGACCTCTCTAATTAAGACGGTGTATTTTGGCCGCAGAGCTGCCCATGGCTAGTTTCTGTTCATTACACCATTCGCCACGAACTAGAAGCTGTATTGCCGTCTTTGTGATCCTGGAACCACCATTTCTGGCACCAGCAATCTCACCACATTCAAAATAGCATCGTAGCCACTTTAGTGCTTAGTCAGACAGCAAGTGTTGGCCCTACCCACATGCAGTAAGTATTCAGTTGCTAATAAACTGGCCCTGGTACAGTTTTGTACCCCAAGGTACAAACAACATTAATGTACCCTCAATGGTACAAAAATATTCCTCCAAGTCCATTTCTGTACCTTTGGTACATTTATCTATAACTGAGGTACAGTTGGCAAACCCTTGAGGGTACAGCCCCAGTAACAAATCATTTCTCTTTCTGTCCGCTGTATGTTCAGTTTGTAGTGTTTAGCAGACCCAAGCATCATAACGGTAAGAACAAGAGGAAGCAAGACAGTTCCAAAGAGGTCGATTCTTTGATTGGGCATTTTTAATAGGACCGCACGCAAATAACCACTTCCTACCACAAAGAATGTGGTCAGATGCTGGACTTTAAGGCACGCACATGGTAACTATTTACAGAGGGCAAGAAAACACGCAAGTAACTAGCAAAGATCAGGGCACACACAGGTAAACACACTTACATACACCGGAGACACAGCACAAGTATTTACAACATGAAATACACCCAGAGGCTATATACACCGCTCTCGAGCATGCTGGGAAATGCTAATGAATGCCATCTCATTGCCGCTACAATATTAACATCTTTTATTTATTTTTTTAATAGTCTAACATAACTATACAGTGAATTTATTCACATTAGGTCTTGATTTTGTTTATTTCAGTAGTTTAGTATTAATAATACTAATGGCGCCCTGGCATATACAAACAATAATTTTGTTTTTGTCAGATTGCATGTAAACTTCATCGTATCGTCATAGATGCTTAGACTCGAATTCTGATCTTCTTTGTAGTCTAGTCATCGCCTCTCTCGCAGTCACCCTTCCTGCAGCACTCAGATAAAAAGCACTCATCCCACCAGCTGCAGTGAAACCCGAACCCATTAAAAATCCCCTGCACTACTGATTGGAGGACAGTAAGCGGACGCGCGCGGGACAGGCTGAGGATGAGGGGTGAACGCGCGTGACAGGGCCTCCCTGCGGACGAGGGGTGAACGCGCGTGACAGGGCCTCCCTGCGGACGAGGGGTGAACGCGCGTGACAGGGCCTCCCTGCGGACGCCCCCCAGCCAAGCCGAGTGCGCTCTCTGTAATCTAACCATCGCGCATTAAAGCCATGAAACATTAATGAGCGGGTCCGCTGTGATTTTGTTTCAGTGCGTAGCCCTGGCTCAAAATGGGATCTGTCCGTGTCGAAAACGAAAGCTGACAGTATTAATACACGTAAGAAATCAGCGTTTACCTTTCCTCCAGAATTTATAGGTGATATTATTCATTACATGTTTGGGCATATATTATGTATGTAGTAATTTTATGAAAATGGGCATGTATATTACAGTGACGATGTTTTTATTTGCCATTGGTACAAGGCCATACCATGACTCACATATACAGGTGAGAGTGAAACGTAGGGTCAGCTGTTTTTGCGACACTCCTGCCGGTGTCTTTGGGGTACAGGGCCTTGGTCAAAGGCCCAGTAGTGAGATCATCACTCTGCCGGTCATGGGATTCCTTTCGGATTTGGCCACAAAGCCTAATCCACACCATCCCATGTTAAACTCGTTATATGTTGAAGGTTTCATTCTTATAATTTCTTTTATATGGTATGATTCATTCTTGGGGTAGGATGGTATCTGTAGATGTGTGGGTTACGCTCCAAACCCTTCTGTGACCCTACCAGCACATGCAGCTAGAAGATGGATGTGTTACACCGATATGAAAATAAGCAAGTACATTATTATGCAATGCTTCCCACTTGTTTTTACAGAAGAAAAAAACACTAAACATGTGAGCTTAATATTCATTGAACTGCAAGCATAATCTAAATAATGCAGCACTAAGTTCGAGGTGAGAACTACCCAGTAAATGCATTTTTCAAATTTTATCGGGGAGGGGGGGGGGGGGGTTCCAATGGTGTGAACTACTTTTCCAGCACTTTTGCAACATTTTGTGTCATGTGATAAAAAGTCATATGACCGATGCTATTTTCGGTCAGGATCAGAGAAAGGCAAAGTCTTCCGAGGGAGAAAAAAAGCCACAGATATCAGTCATTATAACTGAAGCAGGAAGTAGGTCCAGTACTTACGGTAAAATGGACATTTTCAATACTAGTGTGCAAGTATTTTTAATGACATTTAGGAGACCCCAGGCGAGGCACACTGTTACTGTAGGTTACCTCCGTCTCTCGCCATAACCGGCCCTGTGAAACCACATCAGAGTCTTTGCTGGAGTGGGAGGTACAGTTGACATCACCGGAAGCAAAGTCAGCAAAGTATTAAATCACGTCATGCTTCAGTTTTCCTTCAACTACGGGAATGAGTACCGCACACTGCGGACACCAGATCTGTCCTCACCTTGTTAACTCTGTGATCCGCTTGCCTGTATCATTTTGCCATCCCCTGCAGTTTTGGATGTAGATATGTTTTTTTAAGAAAAAGAAAGACAGAAAGATAATGTGGAAAACAGTGATCTCTGTAAATGTTTCGTGTTGAAATTATAGTAAGTGCTTTTAAATATAGTGAGTTGCAGATACAGTTTTGTTCTGGAATTTGCAGAGCAAATGGGCCAGTTAAACTTGAATTTGCAACATTTAGCTTAGCGGTTTTTAAATAGCCGCTCTTACGCTGCTTGAAATAAGCCCCGCCGACTTACTAACAGTACAGATGTGTATGTATTTATCCATGCATCTCCAATCCTGGAGGTGTGAAGCAGCACTGCTGTCCGCTGAGCCGCCATGACACCCTGTAGGCTGTTATGTGTAGGCAGTGTGATTCATTTTGCAATCTTCTGGCAGGACCTCACTCCGTATTTTGTTTTTTTTTTTTGTTTTTTTGTTTTTGAAGCTGATAAAGGTTGAGCGTGTCAACATTTATCAAACAGTTCCCGTAAATAGCCTGTTTACCGAGCCTACATTTGAGGAAACATACAAACAGTGTTTACGCAGAGAGTGGGGGCTTAATCTCATTAGCTGTGATATCCAGACCTTTTTATAAAAGCTAAAGACTCTTTCAGATATACCCCAAAATAAGCACCTGCCTGCTTTAGTGACTCAGACATGCGCCCTCTGGTGGATGGTGTAGAGAACTTCATTCAAGGAAGGCAACACCATATGTTCACTACAAATGTTTCTCAACTTATTGGTCATACTTTGCTAATAATGTTCTACGAAACCTAGTTAAATTAATGATAGGTAATACAACTGATTAACCTTTGAACTCGATCTTTTCTGTTCTTGAGAAATGTCGGCTAGTCATCAAGATGCTATTCATGGTCATTGTCTGTGTCTCTTGATTTGTCTTCCGCAGAGTCTGCACACATCTTCTCTCACGCCCCGTCGTCCCCCCAGCCGTCACCCCCCGACTCCGCCCGTGTGTCCCGCGCCGCCAGCCACGACCTCACTGCCGACGCCAGCGCGACGGAGGACAGCCGCAGCGAGTCCGAGTCCAGCTTGCCGCCAGATTACCTCGTCCTGTCGCAGTGTGAGACCGGCAGGGTTAAAGTTAACAGGCGAGTCGCCGGGCCCCCTCCCTCCTGGGGGTAGTTGTGTTCAGCGGCCGGTCCCACCCCCACCCCTGCCCGGTTAACAGTCTATGCTACCCCCACCTCCCAATTTATTTATTTATTTTTTTCAATCAGATCAATTCTATTTTCACTGCAGCTGGGTTGGCTACGTGTGCCGAAGACAAATTAAAGTAGATGCTTTTCCAAGGATGGGGGGGGGGGGATATAAAAGACGCAGAATGGCAGAGCATCGCTTAAATCGTATTTTTACATGTCCATCTATACAGTCTTGGAGAAGTTCCACTTTATTGTGTCCTTCCATGGTAATGCAATCGTAAGCAATCATGCTGACACATGTGCAGTGCGATCCATGGTTGTTTATTCACAAAAAGCCGTCGTTAACTTGGACAATTCATCAAAATGCATCAGGGGCCAGAGCCGTACCAAAATCATAATCCAGAAATTGAGTTCATTGGGGAGTTCACCCCAAAACGAAAAAATAGACATATATTTAGAGGGGCTTTAGTGCTGTCTATCCATCTAGGTTGCTCTGTTGGGTTGAGTTGCCTAGTTTCAGAGATATCGGCCGTAGAAATGTTAGTCTTTTCTCATATATAATAGGACTGAATGGGATTATTTCTGTGGTAATTAAAGCACCAAAAATTCAACAGCAATGTCTGTTACCAGAAATTATGACCTGGGTACTCAAAATAATCTATAGACTTTGTAGGGAGCGGTTTAATGCAGGAACAATTTTCTTCTACTGATCTCCACACACCAGTCATATCACTGCGCAGAAGATACAAGCACGAGTACCCCGGTGATGTCATCTGCGCAACATGGCCCCTTTAAGACATTAGACACTATGGTGGCACATGTAGACAGTACAAGCAAAGAAAAATTCTGAAGGACCCTTACAGGTATGTTCACTATGGAGACAAACTCACAGTACCTCACAGGGAACTGCTAAGTGGAATGGTGCTTAAATGATTACACGGGAAATACATAACAAGTGAGTCCTATGAACAGTGTGCAGAATCGGGGAAAGGTGCTTACTGGGTTGTGAACGTTAGTTTTCTTTGATTTAAACATTTTTTAAAGATCATCTGAATTGCAGGCTCAGGCAAATTTGCTGTGCTCACTCCTAACTGCCTGTACAGAGATGCATGACTCTGATGTTTTTTTTTTTTTAAATTAATTTATTTTCTTTTTTAGTTTTAACAGCTGTTCAAACTCCGAGAGATCCCTGGAGCAGAACTCGTCCGACAACGCCTTTGAGGACGTCTTCTTCTCGCCCCTCAGCGCCAGTCAGATCCTCTCCCCCTTCAGCTCTGGGAGACCCCTGGAGCTGAGCCTCAGCACCTCCTGCTGCTCCACCCCTCTGTGCAGGACGCTCGATCGTCACGCCTCTGCCACCTCCTCGCCGGCTTCAGATGTTTTTCAGTTCGACAAGCCGCCGTCTTCCCTGCCCCCGGGGGGAACAATGGACGGTCACACGCCTCCCCCCCGTCCCCCCAAGCCCAGCCGCTTCTCGGAGCACTGCGGGGACGAGGCAGTCCACTACGTGGCGCTCCGGAGTACTGAGGGGCCGTTCTCTGTGCGTCCTGCTCCCATTCCGCGGAGAATTTCCCTGCCAGGCCTTGATCACATTCGGAGAGGTATAGCATACCTAGCGAACGACAGAATCTGTGTTCTGGCCCACTTGCAAGTCTCAGAGCTCTATAGAAACTCTTTAAACAAACACTATTCATTTCAAGCTAACCAGCTTAGAAAAGATCCGCATTTTCTTTTAAATCAGGAGTTGCTGTTCTTGCTTTATGGTGTGAATGGCTTAACTTTTGATAAAATCGCTTGTCCTAAAGAGTATACTAAAGAGTATATTAAAAGAGTATATTAAAGAGTATACTAAAGAGTATACTCCCTCATGCTTTACAGCTATCTTCCATGCCAGTAGCTATTTTGCTTCACGCTTTACGGACTGCTACAGTACGTAACTCCATCGTCCTCTGCTGTGTGCGAAGTCATGCTTGATGTCATGGCTTTCTTTTGTAGAATTTGATACGAAGTCTGAAAGACGCTGGAACAAACGACTCAGTCTTAATTTGGTAAGATATAATTCCCTTTGTTAGTAAAAATAAAGATTTTTTTCTTTGAAAAAGAGGGGTGCTAAATGAAAAAAAAATCTTTATAATTAAAACTCAAATGAAAAATGAATTAAAATAATGCAAATTCCTTTAACGGTATTTAATTAAAAAAAGGATTGTGTTGGTGTCATATAATCAAGAAAAACCAGCAAGCATGTTTACTCTCTTTTCAGCCTCATCTGACAACCATGTCCAACTCGAATTCGACAGACTGTTGTGATGACTCTTACGTCCCAATGAATTCTGGGACTTCGCCACCTGCCACTGTTTCAGAGCACTCCCCCGATGGGTATATCCCCATGAGCCCTTTGTCAATTAAATACCTCCTGTCCAATAATAAAGCAGAGAATCTCCAGGCCACGCCCAACTTTCAAGTGCTGCCCAATGACATGGAGCCTCCTCCGGTGAACCGTGATCTGAAGCCTCGCAGAAGAGGTGAGGATGACAAAGCTTTGGATGTGCAAAGCAGAAAAATGCGTGTCTGAATATTTATTAATGCACACGTAAAACACTTCTGGTGTTTTTACCCACACAATTATTAATGTCACACATGAGTAGATTTTGCTTTATGAAATTTGATTTATGAATGTCACAAGGAAGGAACTTTATACTGTATTTTTTTTCTAAATTATTACTTGTCAGATTTCAGTTTCCTTATTTAAACACTTCATCATTATTCTAAATAATGTATCATGCAAAAAATAAGAGGAATCTATAAGGGAGCTTCCTCTACCTTCAGACTGCTTATTTTGGACAGGGACACGGAAGGGGATGGAGATTATCCAGGAAGCACAAGCTCCGCTGTAGGGTACAAGCTCACACACACAATGGGAAATTTATACCTCAGAATGTCTAGACAGTATGAAAAATTAAATATGTGGGTACCTCCAAGCCACCTCATGCAGCTGATCACCATAACTACTACAACAACAAAGAGCTATTCTTCCTCTACTCTTTCGTCGTTGACTTCTGATCTGTGAAAGTCGGTGCTGCCACCTACTGGCAATACCTCGTCAGTTATGTTGCACGTGTGTAATCGACATGCACAGTGGGGCACGACTGCCGCCAGATGAAAAAAAAATGATAAATCTGTGCTACATGCACAACGACCGCAGCCATCCGCAGCCAACCCACTGATGAAAACATTTACGTCACTTCTCCTTGTGCACAACCGAAAGCGTACGCAGAAAAGTGGAACATAGAGGCACCACTTAGCCAGTGTGCATGTCTTTGGACTGTAGGAGACCCTAGTGACATGGGGGGAACATGCAAACTCCACACACTGCGGAGGCGAGACTCCAACCCTCAATCCTGCATGGCCACTGTGCCACAAATAAGGGACCTTCCAACAGCGAAAATATGAAAAACAAAATGATCCATGAGCCAGACAATCATATATTTGTATTATACATAGTAATTGCTAGAATGGTGTTTGTGTGGGTTTGCAAAGATCACATTTAGGGACCAAAATGTCCCTAAAGTGTGATAAAATCTGAAACTAACTTACTTACTTTTGTGGACTTTTTATCAGGTTGCCGTTTGGATAACCTCAATTTTATTAAAAAAAAAAAAAATCTATGACTGCAGTCAAAAAAGTAAAAATGCTGAAAATGTGTATTTTGTTTGATTACTTTTGGTTAAGGTTAGGGCTGGGTGGGAATTATGCTGTGATTGAGATAAGGCTTTTTTCCATGGAAATGAATGGAAGGTCTTCATTTAGATACTGTAGGCCCGCCAACGTGTGTGTTTCTTTGTGTGTTTGTGCCCTGCAATGGGCTGGTGGTTCCCTACCTTGCACCTCTAGCTTGTGGGATACACTTTGTTCTCCAAAACCCTGCATAGGACCAGCAGGTACTGTATAGAAAATGGATGGACTGATGGATTGTTTGGGGTTTGATTCGGTTTCCAGCGAGACCTCCACCCCTTGACCTGCGGGGCCTGTCCACCATCCGAGAATGCCCGTTCCACCTGCCTCTGATGAGGACGCTGACGGAACCAGGGTAAGTGAAACACCTACCAGCTAAACTCTCCATCTTGCTGGCTCTGAGAAACACAGAAGTGGTAATTGAGGTTATTTCCAGGTGGAGGAGTGCCAAAGGCGGTGTCCGTCAAAGCGGGGGGGGGGGGGGGCAGGTGTTTTCTCAGCTCAGCATGTTGTCTGGCATTTCCACATACATCAAGCTAGCCCGGATTGTGGCTCCACGCTTGATAGAATCCGACACTTGGCTATAATCAAGTGTCACAAGCCGTGATCATCAACGTGCTCGCCATGATAGCAAATCACGCTAGCCAGTGCAGAACGCATCAAGCCAATGCTCAAGACCCAAAACGAGGCAAATACCTCAGTGCCTCGGGGGACATCCCCTAGCTAACGCCTGCTTTAAGATCTTCTGTATTTCTAAGTGGCTTTGTTTCCTGTCTCTTTACCTCAGCTACCCTCCTTTTAATTACTTTATGCATCAAATGTCTCTGTCTTCAAATCCCTGTGCAGAACCAGGCAACAAATTAAGATATTCATAAATGTCGAATATGGGGAATCGCTTTTGCTGTGTGATATTCCTGCCGTTTAATAGCCTGCTGTGTGTGCTTGTGTGCTTTTTTATACCCAGACCCTCAACAAACTGGTTCTCACTGGAAAGACGATGTAATACAGGAGGGAACCCAGCAAACGGAGAGGGCAACTGTCTTCCAGCGGTAATGGAGTTTAATTGCTTCTAAAATTAACCACTGAGCTGAAGAGTCGCTTTGATATTGCCATTCCATATTGTAACTTTATAGCTACGTTATAGCTGTGTTGTAAGCATTATCGGCATCACATGATGTAAACGTGACGCCTAATCAGCCTGATGTATAGCTACCTGCTTGATAATCTGCTAGCATTTTTATTCTTTTGGGGTAGACCCTTCAGAGCAGTCTGGTGTTCGTTTTATTATTTAAAGCCGATAAAGGAAAATCTCTTCACAACCCAATGAATACATTAGTGAAAACATGGAACAGCCAATCTGCTCATATGTTTCCTTGTCAAAATGCCAGACCTGAGCTGTCAGCAAAGCAGATGGCTATTTTGCATAGATGTGTAAATGTGACTTGATGCCCGGTGAGTAGGCTTACGCCATTTTGCCTAAAATGTAAATTAGATTATGGGTTTTTTTTTTTAATTAGGTGGCCACTAATCTCCAGGCTTAATGGTTTGAGCTCGATCTCGGCCCTGTGTTAACGTGAAGTTTGGGTGTTCGCCTTGCGTGTACGTGGGTTTTCTTTGGGTACCTCATGCATTTTAAGGACATGCGGTTTTTCTAGCCGGCTTCTCTAAATTGGCCATCGTACAGTATGTGTCCTGTGGTGGACTGACTGCCTGTTCTGCGTGGGATAGGCTGCAGGCCTACCTGTGACTCTGACTGGGATCGGTGGTTGGAAGAAGGTTGGATTATTATTATTCAGATCAACAAAAATGCTTTTTGCATTCATATGGCATCTTGTGTTCAGGTTATGTTATTATACATTTTAATCTATATTTAATTGCTTATAAAAGGAACAGACCTGTCCTGGTCTTCCCCTGAGATAGCAGCTTATCCTGGCAGTACCGTGACAAGGCTGCATTTAGCTACCCAGTGAGGCCCGTACCTGAAGGGCACGTGGACCCTGCACGCGTCACAGCTCGGCAAGTGGATCCGCTGAGCCCCTCTCTGTCGCTGCAGGAGCCCAGGCAGCTGCTGTTCCCTGCTAGCGGAAGCCCCACCCCCCATATGCCCAGGACATCAAACCTTGACTACCTTTCCCTGGACTTCAACTCCGCGTCGCCGTCGCCCGTGCAGAAGGTCAGCACATGTAATCCCGAGAGTTTTTCTCACTGTTCTCTACGCACTCTGCACAGAACATACTTTCCACACTTTGATTTGAGTGGCATGACATGCTACAGAAAGCAAATATAAACCACCAAAATAGCGTAAAACATCTCGACTGAAGCAGTGAGTCATGTATTCACATGTTCAACATACGAACAAGCAATAATAGCTAAACACCCAAGTACACAATTAACAAATAGAAATAATTTTTATAAGATATATTTAGAATGTGTTATGTCTCTTAATTTTGTTATAAAAGGCTGGATAAATTGTGTTGTTTCTTGTCCCTATTTTCCTAATTACATTGGAGGAATCCATTTTTCATGCCCTTCTGTGCCGTATCTAGGCAACCACAGTGGCACTTATGCAATACCTCCTACGTCTATAACACAAGGCCCTCTCAGAGAGGCCTCTCAAATGTAGTCATCAGGGACACCACAAAGGGTGATTCGCACCCATCTACTTCATAGGTACGAGAAGATTTAAAAGGTGTGTCGGCTAGCAAGTGTATCTCCAGGAAAAACAGTCTTGCACGTCGACTTTGGAATAGCAATCAAGGCATCCCTCTGATGCATCTGATAATCGACAGAAATCCCCGCTGATCCTTTTGAAACAACCTGCATAAACCGGTGGTGTAAAGTGGGAATTTTATTGTTTAGTTTTGAAAACTAAATGAAACTTGCATTTAATATAGTACATTCATTTATTTACATTCGCATTTATCTTGCAGACGCTACATCACCACGCACCTCACCTTTCTTAATATAAGCAGGTACATTTCACAAAGGGAATAGAGAGTAATTAGGTTGGAGATGCGTTAGAAATATGTACTGAACAAGTGGCACGGGTGTTTGCAGTTCAGCAGTTGAGCTTGAGCTGGCAGTCTGCACTCTCTCTGCCACAGAAAAATGCCTTGGCAGGAATGGTATAACCATTTTTTCCCCGACTAAAGCTTGTGCACCACATGCTACATGGCTACCTGGAAATTTTGGTTCCTTTCTTCTCCTCTTTCCTTATTATAATTATAAATAGTTTGAATGTCAGGAATTGTGATGACATACGTGTGTGCTTCTTTAAAGAACACGCAATTGTGCTTTTTTTTTTCAGAAGGCCCTGCTGGCAGACGAGCAAAGGGTGGATTATGTGCAGGTGGACAAGAAGAAGACTCAGGCCTTGCAGAACACTAAGATGGACTGGAAAGACTTCCGACAATCCAAAGAATAGCAAAGCATCCTGGGAAAGCATTAATGGCAAAGGAGAATCCGTCACGGCGTGGGGCTGCATCAGCCAGTGGAACCAAAAAAACTATCGAGCTGTCAAGGGTGGATAAATATCCTTTTATTAGGTGCCATTTACTGATGAATGTCCCTACACTGCCTCAAGTATTTTTTTAAATGAAACAAGGACTTTTCTTCGTTTTAATACAGGGATTTGTTTTCTATTGAATTTTGTTCGCCAGTTTTCAGCTATACATATGTCGCAAGACCAAACAAACTGAATGTCATGCCACTTTTCATGTTTTTGTTCTCTGAAATCATGAATCTTAGATCACAGTACTATGATTTCCTACTATGATCATTGTGTAACAGTTACTATGCATTTTTTCCAGCTAAAGATTTAGCTTCTCTTACATCTGCTAACTTCTAAATAATGCTACAGTACGACAGCAGTGTGTGCATATATACTGATATATTTCCATTTTGCTGTTTAACTCCTAAAATCATGAATGCCTAAATTATGAGTTATAAATTGTCACTTTGAAGATAGCCTGGCATCCAGGTATATACTTTGCCTTATGATCTGTGCTCTGGCCCACCGCTTCCCTAAAGAATAATTATAAAGTGAAAGAAATATAATATGTGTTCAAAACCAGCATGACCTCCATCACAGGGCCAGTCTAAAGTTTCCACACCCAAGGGCCTGATCCTCTTTCTCTTTTAGCTTAATACAATCAGTTCCAGAAAGTATGCTTTTGTTCCTAAACATCAATTAAACAAGTCAATTAGGATTAAATTACTGCCACAGAACTGAGAGCAGAATGAAATGTCTTCATTGAAAATTGCTGTATCTCAAAATAGGCATTTAATATGCAAAGCTGCCAGTATCTATAAATGTTTTTGGCAAAGCGGGCGTCTGATTTTCCTCACATTGGACTGTCCTAAAGCGTGCATCTTGGAAAATATAGTGGCAGTTTATTTACTCGCTCAGTGCATGATTAACCAAGGACGTCCTAATGGGATTTGAGGTGAGGAAGAACTGAAAGGCAACAATGCAGATAACAGCTTTCAATGAGGATGGCAAAATGTAGGCTTTAGTTAAGTGTGGCTACCCATGAAAAAATACGATGATAAATGAGCTGCAAGGAATAAAAAGAAAACTATTAAAATGCATAAAATATTTCTGGAAAAAACACATTGATAACATACTGTACAGTATTTTTCCATGTTTGATTGCAGTCTAATTGCTAAATCTGATGATAATGTCTTTCAGGACTTTCAAAAACGTTGAGAGTAACTGTGCTCATTCTGTGTTTGATGCAATTACTTTCATACTACAGATTAAGAGTGATGATGTTACTCTGTCTATAGTTCCCTATCATTTTGCAGAAAACTTAATACATTTTTTTTTCAATAACCATTCAAGTACAATTAAACCCATTAATATTGTTTCATTGACAATGGGACTTTAACAAAGAGAATTTTGTTATATAAGAGCAAATGCTCGTACTTTATGTGTAATTAATATGCTGCTGCTGGAGAGAATTTCTTCTTTTTTCTAGACTGTGATACACTCAGAAACCAGGTACTGTGTGCTCCACTATTGCTAGACAATTAGCACATACATTTACAGAAAAATCCAACATTATAAATAAATGAATTGCCTTCTGTTGACAGGAAAACATTATCCGATGGCACGCCAGTTTTTCACTTCTTTGGCCTGTTACTATGCGTGTTGAAATAATCAGCTAGTCTCATAGGATTAAGTAAATTATTTATTCTCTTCAGAAGGAAAAACAGAGCAGGAAACCTGTGTTGCCAAAGAATTGTCTCTTTTTAGTCTTTCCCACTGTGCGTGTGGTTTGTTCCTACCTGTGGTACAGCTGGCTGGTTTCTATCTTTGCTCTCTTTTCATGCTACAGTTGGCTGTATTTCAAAAGGTAACCATACGTGTCTTAAAGAAAGAAGCTTAACATTTTCTAAAGTATCTCAAAGAACAAATCATGGTAAGCCTAAAGGGCAATGTATAATTACTGTGAATTACTGTGAATTCATCTTATCTATAGGGCTACAATAAAGCACATCTGGGAAAACTCACATTTCAATTGAATGTGGTGTTTACTGTTGAGTGACTTGGATGTACTAGCTAGATGAAAATCAGATATTGCAGGTACTAAAGAGACTAATCACTTTGTAAGTTTACTCAGGGGTAATTTGCTGGCATTATTGTTATCTGGTATTAATATGAAATCCTTAGCATTCTTTGTTAGAGATTCTTTGCTGTTGCCTAGTTAATACATTTTATTTAATATTATTATTATTATTATTATTATCATTCAGGGAAAGAATTCCAATAAAACTATTCTATTGATGGCTGAGTTGTAGTGAAAAACAAGCTACATAACAATGAGACTGATGACTGGTGAAGTTACAGACTCCGTTCTTCATTTTGCTTTTACATTAGGTGGTATAGACTATACACTAGCTGTCTGTCAGACAGAGTCACGAACAGCTCGGCTGTCTAACCCGGCCCCGCTTCTCTCCTTTGATCTCCCTGTGTTCTTCAGGCGGATGAATTCTGAGTGCGGCTAAGCTTGCAAAGCGCGTTCTCAGGTGCACTGACTTGGCAATAACTTGAGCAAGTAGCGTTGCTGATGTATCAAAAATGGAACAATCCAGGGCAACGTCCAGCAGGAAGACTGTCATGATTTTAATCGCAGGTTTCATTTCAGTACTCACGCAATTGTAAAAAAAAAAAAAAATTCAAATATGTTGTAGAAATTGTATTTTATGTACTTCTGAGTTGATGTTTTCATTGTGGACACCAATGCATTAAAATCTATTAAAATTGAAAGACTGTAAATCTGTAAAAAAAAAAAAAAAAAAAACTTTACTATTGATAGTTCAAATTAATTCTCTACATATATTTATGAAATTTCCCATGTTATTAAAATCTTCTTTGCGAAACTATTTTACATAATATATCATAATGTAACATCTGACTATGTACCATGTTATTCACAGCACTAAGTAACTAAGTGAGTAACTAAATGAGTAACTAAGATCCATCTTCCCAATGTCTATTTTGCTCATGTTTACAGGCAGGATCTTGGAGTCCGTTCCAAGTCCATTTACAGATGCTAATAAGCCTTATCTACATTCATCCATCCATAAATCCATCCATTCATCCACCCAACCAACTTCCATCCATCCAATCAACCAACCTTCCATCCACCATGACAGATAATACATGGCTATCTTACGTAAGGGATAATGCCTCCTAACCTAACCTTGGCACCTTTGGTCTGTTATCATTCCCATCTGCTGCTGCCAATGACTGGAATTTGTTACAAAAATCTTTACAACTGGATAAATGTATATCTGTCAGCTTTCAAAGGCCTACCAACAGACACTTCTTAATACTTGTAAATGCTTTAATTCTGATTAATTATTGTGCTGTGGTTCTTTTGTGTGTGTGTGTGCGTGTGTTGTGTGTATACCTTACCTTTCGGGGACACAATGTCTCCATAATGTGATAAATACCTGTTTTTTTTCCCTTATGGGGATGGGTTTCCTGAAAACTCAATTTTGTAGAAATCGGTGACCACTATGAAAAGACTAAAAATGCAAAAACTCTTGTATTTTGTTTGGTTACTTATGGTTATGGTTAAAGTGAATTAGCGGTCCCCATAAGGATAGGTATACCCGGCATGTGTGTGTGTGTGTATGTTTGCTGCCTGGCACTTGCCAAGCAGTCATTGTAAAAAAAAAAAAA